TAGAAGACAATGCTGGATGAAAAAACCTTGAAAAGAAGATTTTTTAATTTGAAGCTGCTGAAGGCAGCCCGATCCATTCTTTATTTATATCTCTACCCAAAAACACTTTACCTCTTCTAGTCAATTTGGGCCATATATATTTCTCATTCTGACATTTGGAGAGATTTAATGAGACTAAGAATAAAATAGAGGCCGAAGGCAACCTATATATACTACTTGTTGATGCTCGGATTGGCAGGAGATAACATAGTAAATTTGCTTAGCTTTTTGGATGGACTGGCTAGTGGATGGATCCAAAGGTGTGCTAAGGTTGAGGGCTAGAAGAGCCTGAAGGACGTTATGGCCGAGGGTCGATGAAGTTTGTTCGAAGTCGGCCAGGGTCGGCTGAGGGCAAGTACCTGCGAGGAAGGAAACGTTAGAGGCCCCGGGTGATAAACCAAGGCGGGGACTCCGATGGTCAAGTTAGTAAAGGCATAACAAAGAGGGCGGACAAGGTCCGAAGAGCTTGAACGAGGTCGCCAAAAAGCTAGGGAACAAGAGAGTTTGGAGAGATGAAAGTCTGGTGGCCAACGAGAGAGAGAGGCCCCTTACCTTGGGGGTGGCATGCCCTATTTATACTTACGGTCGTCTGACACGCTGATTGGCTCCTCCCCCGGCCACATGTTGATGCACCAATGGCCTGCCAAAAGTGCGTACATCAATACTTATTCCTCTCCCCATCATTAATCATCTTCAAGGCTGGGAATGCCAATGGATCGAGTTAAGTGGTAAACCCGCACTCACCTAACCCTGTCATGTTAGAAATGGGTCAGTTTTAATTGGGTTTAAAGTTGAGCAGATGTGTTGAAACTAAATATTGACATTGCAGCATTAAAATATTTGCATTTATATATTTGATTGAGTATAAATGTACTATATATTATGGATGAGCAGACATCGAACCAGCCTTGGTAACCCCAATTTCAATTGGTTCTCGGGTAGAGTCCGATTCCAAAATCTTGGAACCAATCCCATCTAAGCCTGTTTTAAGGTCTGTGGGTTTACCCTAGTCAAACTGGCCCAAAAAACCAGTCTTGATTGGTCTTGGTAGAAATGGCCTTGATGGAATCAAAATTACCTAGCCTTAGAACTGAACTTGATTAAAATTGGTAGAACCAGCCTTGTGGAGTTGAAATTACCCAGCCTTAGAGCCAAACCTTCCTCAAAATAAATTCCAAAAGACTTTAAAGGTGTGAAGCATTGAATCCATATGCAACGGTTTGAATGGTGTGGATTATGAGTTCAACCATGATACGAAACGACATGATATGAGAAAAGCTTGTAATGAGCAATCATAAAAGTGGTAACCAATCAAATGGGATTTATCAAAATTCACAGGGGGCTTTTATTGATCAAAGCTCTTCATGAGTTCCAGAATCATGTCTTTTTGGTAGCATGAATTTTTCCATGTGTGAATTATGTTGCATTAATTGTAGAATGTACTCCATTTACATTGAAATTGTGGAATGTGTATGTATTTGGATCATGGATTAATATTTTTTTTTGAAAAAAATAAAAATAAAAAACAACATAGAATAATGATTATGGATTAGTAATAATGATGTGATATTATTTAAGTTATTTATGGATTAATTATGTCTTATTTTCTTTGAAATTGAATGATTATATGAATTTGAAATGTAAAAGGCCTATGATAGATTGTTATGGAAGGTTAAAGCTTCCAAAGGAAAGAAAAAAAAAAAGGACTCCAGAACTGATCAATTCGAATTAATACCTATACGGTAGGTTGTAGGTTCTGCCTTGGAAATAAAATGACTCCGTACTATATTTAACACAGGGAGGGTTAGATTATTAAATATTCTCTTTTCACTTATTCGGATTAGAATGGGTCCAGATTGTGCTTATTCATATTGAGTTCAGGCTAAGATAATACCATACCAAACCCGACCCGTCAATGTTCCTGAGTCAATACACATACCCACATAGGCACATAGGTGTGGTCGTTAAACACACACATGCAATTATAAAAAAGGACATGGGTTGTTTCAATTGATAAAGGCCAAGTGGAATTGACAGTGGGCATTAAAGACAGATCCATGGATTCTTTTGCCTGAACTTCCGTGGAAGTGAGATATCTTCTTTATGTGATCACACTAGTAAGTAAAGTACTTGTAAATTTTCTGACAATATATCTCCCATCTTATCCTTGAAACAAAAACAAATTTTATGCGTTTAAGGCGTTCACAAGAGAGTTTAGCGCCACACAAATGCCCATGGGGCGCCTTTTGTGGGGTGCAAATGTGAACTGCTCACGAGGATACCTTGGAGATCCGGTCTCTTACATTGTGGGCATGCAGGATGAATCAATGAGAATCATCAGGTGCATGGGAGTGCTGATGGCTACTCGCTAGTCGCCAGTAAATAATATAATAGACAAGTACGGTAGGTACATTACAGATGTTGGAATCGGAAAGGTGTGATAAAAGTAACAACTTTGACTTTTTGACCAATCAGAACACCTTGCTTGAATTTGCTGAATACTTGCTGATTCGTTGCGGGATTGCAGCTGGTTTTCTAGTACCATAATCGGCCTCCACGCGTTCGGGCAAAGCCATGAAACGTTCTCTCTTTTTCACAGATTCCGACTTATTGTTAACAAGAATTCCTTTTTGTGTTGGTTTAGCGTTAGTGATGACAGTGAAAGGTCCATAACCCCCATAAAAGTGCGGGTTCAAGTACTATTCGATAGATTGATTAGCCCACTGACAACCGTCAAATAACCAGAACCAATAGCTCCCGTTCAATCCGGTCCAAATCGGAAACCATGGATATAGATATGGATATGGATGCTTTTATGTATGTGTTTGAAATGACGTGTATAGACCAAACATTTTTTATTTAATTTGTTTAAAAACTCGATAAAAACAATGATGAACCTGTTTAGTGATAATTAAGCGTTATATCATGAAAACAGTGATCATTGGAAGAAACCCTAAAATGAAATTTACTTCGCCAAACACACGCTATATCATTCACAACTTCTTCTCACATGGTTGGATTAAAAACTATGAATCAGCTATACATGTAGGACATACATCTTTCATATTTGTATTTATTAAGGTTTCCAATATATAGTGGGATATGAATGTAAAATTGGTATGAGGAGTGCAATTCCAAATCAAATTAAATGCGTGAGATCATTTACAGGGTTTTCTTTTCTTTTCTTTTCTTTTTTTTAACGAGAGTTGATCAATCTCTTACCCACATCAAGTATGTATTTGATTCCGTTAGCATTTATTAAGTAAATGTTTTATATTTGATATGGCTGTAAAATCGAGAAAAACAATTAATGAGGGCGTTTATGACACATAGACACCATTAGACACCACATCAGCAAAAGTGCCAATAAACGCATATCCATTGGGGGAAGCTTTAAAATGAAGATTCCTGAAATGAGAGAGGCACACAGAAATCGATATTTGCAAACATCAATACATACAAATGTACATAACGAGGCATTTGCTAATGAAGTGTCTATGTGGCAGCATTTATTCAATAAATGCCCATGGTTTCAAAAACCTTCCAAGTGGCTCATTTGATAAGAAAAGAACTTTATCCATATTCAAAACCGGACCAGACCAAAAAATCGGGAACCAATTAGGCATTTTCCCCCAAAACTGGATTTTTCCCAAAAACCATTGATTTTGGTTAGCAAACCGCTGACCCATGCGGTTAACCGTTGGCTCATTTGATAAGAAAAGAATTTTATCCATATTCAAAACTGGACCAGACCAGAAAACCGTGAACCAATTAAGCATTTTTCTCCAAAACCGGATTTTTCCCAAAAACTATTGATTTTGGTCAACAAACCGCTGACTCAGGCGGTTAACCATTTGAATGGTTTTGACCGTTTTTTATTTTTTTCATTAGAATGGGCCGACCGTTCGACCCGGGAACCGGACCCCTAACCGATTCGTTCTCCGGGTCGGTTTTAAAAACCTTGATCTGAATGCATTTTATTCTAGTGATTAGGTGGCCTTTCACACATACTCTAAATTCAATCCATTTACACAATTTTATTTATTTGTAAAATCATTCCTTGTGGTTCCTTCTTGTATGTAATTATATTTGAAAAACAGTTAAAATAAATATGATGAATAAAATTAATTAAAAGAACAAGAGAAAGTAAATTGATACTAATTAATAAGATCACAAATACGGGAAAAAAACCTGCTTCACTTTTTATATGGTGCTCTCTTCAACATTAATAATAACAATTAACAGAAAAGGCCATTTATGTTGTGTCAGTATATGTACAGTGGGTTAGGAGAAATCTTTTGAAAACATTTTAATCAGTGTTCCCTAATTAATTGTAATTAGTGAAATTTAAAAATGTTTATATTCACAATTTTCCCTTGTCTTAAGGATATATAAAAGATAATTTGAGCTGATTTCCCTATTGATCAGATGAACATAGAATGAATGAATGATAATAATAAATAAATAAATGATATACAGAGAAACAACTAATTAAAATGTTCATGGAATAAAACATGTATTCATCTCAATAACCTGGGTATTTTCAATGAGTAAGCGAGAAAGTTGGTCTTCTCCGTTCAAAAGCTGGCCCCCTCATAGTCTATTCTAATCTCACAACAATCGTACATCTCTGAAAGTCTGAATCATTTAATTTAATTTTACAAAAAAAAAAGATAAAATTATTCATTTGCCAATGAATGATATTTTTAATTTTTGAGAAATTTATGATATGTTCCTCTTGAAAAATTTTATTGATTTTCTTTGAATCTAGTAATGGAAGAACGAAAAAAAAAACCCTTCATTTTTTTTTGAGAAAATCCTTTGATTTTAATAGGAAATAGATGTGATTAAGATCGAAAACTTTCACTTTAACTATTAATTTTTTTTAATGTTAAACACTTGAACTAAAATCCAATTGTTTTACAATGAAACAGTGAATGATAAATGGTATCTCTCAAGATTAATAGCATTTACAGACCACAAGAGCTTCTGAACAGTTCAGTGGAACACCATGAATTACATAAAATTAAAAATAAAGATTGAACTCACCCTAAAGAAGCCTTAAAAAATGAAGATGGAAATGGTTAGAAAAAGAAAGGAAAAAAAAAAAAAAGGAAAAGAAGAGAAGTCTACGTTGCAGACCCAAGAAGATACATATATATATTTTAGCATTTTCGATGTAAATAAATCGATCTTTTGGATCCCCCGTGCCCAATTTAATTATTACTACTTGGATTGATCAATCACCTCAGTTCAATACCCGCCTGCGGCGGCGGACAGAGATGACTGCAGCTGTAGCAGGTGGTGGTAGCAGTCGGCTGCCGTCGGCCGCTGTTCCGGGTTCTGATCGAGGCACCTATTTTGCAACTCTCTCAACAGCTTTGGCACCGCCAATCCACACGTCCTTATCAATTGCCCAACGCCCCAAACATCCACCTTCACACCATGCAATCCCCTAGCCATCTCCGGCGCTTGCCGACCACCGCCAACCATGGCACCATGAGGGTATATCTGTGGTGCACCCACCGCCTCATCAAACCCGCCGACAAACCACTCGTTCTCTCTATCACTCCTCCTCATTACCTTGTCCCACCCCAGGTCTCTGTGCATGAAGGACAGATCGTGTAGTGCAACCAACGCCTTTGTCACGTACTTGAGCGCCTCCACCAGCTGTTCGCAGCTCGTGGGTTTCGATTTACAACCTCGCGGCTTGAAAATTAAGGCTAGCTCCTTCTCTGATGCTCGGATTACATACTCGGCGTGTGGGATTCGGTGGTCGAGAAAATCGTATATCTCTTTCACGGCAGCCCACTTTCTCCTGCTCGAGAACGATCGCTTCATCGTGTTGGGCGTCATCTCGATGACGTTTCCACCCCCCAAATCTAGCCTCTCGAAATCGCTGTAAGCTAATTGCTTGTACGTGTGACCAACATTGCTGTTACTGTTGAAGCACCGGTCCGCCAGCAATGGTAAGAGACCTGCAATTCTCCAACATGGGACTAGTGCTTTTAGTCTCTCCGTTGGCGTCGATAGGTCTACCGAGTAGAGATCGGTTCGGAGGACTCGGTCCTGTGAGCGACTCAAAGCGCAAAAGATGACTGAATATCCGATCGCGTAGTAACCTAGTATGTATGGGAGGTCCAAGTACGTCCACAGAAGCTTCTCTACTATCGAAGACGAGGGATCCACATTGCCTTCCCTGACTTGATCAGTCTCCTCTCCTCTCCACAAGCAGAAATTTCTTACGAAGCCCGTCACGTTAGGCCACTGATCCTGCAACGTCTCCGTCGTCGTCGGAGATGACGAAGGTTTCCGCACGATAACCATTTCGAGGGAGCAGAATTTGGAAACAACTCGGTTTATGCAGTCGTCCCATAAGCCGATAAACGAGTCTCTGCTCGTTGCAGTGCCAGCGCTGATACTGGGATTCGAGCGGACAACTGGACTTAAGGTATCAAACATTATGCCCCTGCAATCTAACAGTTCTGTGGATGTGGTGAAGAAGAGCTCCTTCCCTTGAGGTAGGTCTCTGTACACGTCCTTCCTGAGAGGGAACCTAAAGTCCTCCGACGGAGGCTCCTGCAGGTGCCATGAGAGCTCAAACAAACTCGGGAGTGTTGTGGGTGGAGACCTCAAGCAGCCCAAGTAATACTCACTTGGGTCCTGATATTCCCAAGGAGGAATCGCTGCATTCACACAACATCTATCACACTCATGAATGAAGAAGTCATAAATACGTACAAATATACGAGTTATCTATGGAGGAAACACCAAAAGGATAACGTACATATACACTAGAGAATTGAGTGATGGACACCTAAATCTAAGTAGTCCACCATCGACCATGTTTGTAATACAGTAAAGCCCCACTCAGCTCTTGTTGGGTCACTTCCAAGTGTCTAATCAAATAGTCTTAGCATGGTATACACTGATGAGACACGTGTACAGTGAGAGAATAGGCTCATGGAATATCTTTGCCTCTGTGTTGGTGTTAGTAGTATATACTATACTTACATCTAATGGACGGTTCTGTTACCGCTGGAAGCTGAACTCTCTCCGAAAGACCTGTTTGATACAGAAGACAGATTGAGAGTAGAGTAGTTAATCTTGCTGATGATAAGAGATAGAGAGAGTAGCATGAAAGAAGAAAATAGTAATAGATCGAGGGAATGTATGATATTGTTATACCGGACGTAGCAGTCGATGGCTTTCGTCTTCCGAAGACTTTGACCTGTTGACCACAGACGAACCTGTCCACAGAGAAACCCTTCAGTGGTCCGTCTTCGAAGGCCTCCATGGTGCAAGCCACCATGGTGTCGTCTAAGAAAGCAAGCTCATCTGCGTTCAGAAAACTTGAGCCTTGAAACTTAACTCTCCCTCTCTGGTACTCTCCTTCCTCCGCCCACAAAGTTACAGATTCCTCCCAAGTCATTTTGATCTTTCCTATGCGTCGAAATTCCTTTGACGATGAAGAAGATGACGGAGCCACAATCTCCAATGAAGTCTCAACCCCAGATAAGTTCCCTCGACCAACATGAAGGAAAGCTTCTGTGGTGGCCGTCGTGCCCGGTTGCTTGATCTTTGCTAAAACCACCCAAATAAAATTCAACTCACGAAAATGAAGGGAAAAAAAAAAGAAAAATCTTGCTTTTGTTGAAAAAGATGGTTTTTGGTTTATTTCTTCAGTTGTTATTATCATACCAGAGAGAGATAGGTCATCATCTTTGAAAGGAGGAGGTGGTGGTGGCAGTGGGAGAGCTTTCGGCCCAGCCACAGCTGATCTCCCGTTATCTCCGCCAACAACTGCAGCAGGCCCTCTGCTCTGAGAGCTTCTCGTACGAAGACCCATGAACTGAGACAACTCTTCGAAGACTTCTTCATCGAACGAAGCTGGCAATCTATGAATTTTCCTCTCGTAAGGCGATAGACGAAAGTAGCTCTTCCCTACTTGTTCTCTTTCACCGCCTCGTTCCCATTCGTAAACCTTCCTGAACTCACCCAGCATGTTGTCCCACTTCGTCCCAGCTGTCTTTGCGTCTCTTTGAACTCCATGTCGGTTGAGAAATTCTGCCACTTCTCTATCTTTCTCAGCCCTAGTCTTCCCCCTAGAAGAAGGCATGGTCACCACATCGCCACCACCACCAACACCACAGGAGGTGGGAGTCTCGTTAGCCTGCTCTCCGCCTGAAGAAGAAGCACACCCATCTCCCCTCCCTCCTTGGTACTGAATCCTCCAAGCCCTCGCTAGCCACAGCATCTCATTGGGCTTCCAAACCGGGCTCACATATTTCCCCTTTCGAAGCTGTTGATGAAACTGCTGGCTGTCCGGCTTGTTGGTGTCATGGCCCGACGCAGCTGATAAAGAAGGGAGAGGAGAGTGCGAGGGAGACGAGGCTGTTGGAGAAGAGGATTCTGCAGTGGTGTGACTTTGGGCTTGTGGGTTATCTGTCCGAGACGGGCTCGATTCGCTATTAATCTCAGTCATCTGCGGATTTCGCTGTTGCTGTTGGGATGATGAAGGCAGGAGCTTCCATTGACCGGTAGCGTATCTGGGTCTCTTCGGATTCACAGCTTCGCACTGCTGTTGTTGTTCCAACTGAACAGAGTTTCCCCCAGTCGGAACATAAGGAGGAGCGGAAATAAATGGAGCTGCAGTAATCTGTTGCTGTCGAGTCTCTACTGATTCCTCAAGTGTAGGCGAGGATGAACGTTGTTGCTTCTTGATAGCCTCTCCTCCCCCTCCTTTGTCACCCATCGAATCTCAGAAAAACAAAGATAAAATAGAACAGAAAAGGAAGCGAGAAGAAACCCTAATGGTCCAGAAACAGCTCGAACAAGATTACCAACAACACCATGTCACCGTTACTGTTGAGTTGTGGTGGTTAACACATTCAAATCTAAAGTGAGACTATTTAAGTTATTAATATGAATCACATGGGTTTGGACCTTTTGGACTAGATTTCTGAGACTATCTAGGAAAAGGAAAGTCAAGACTCAATTACAGAAGCTTTAGAAAAAATAAAGAAGAAAAAGTAAAGACAGGAAAAAAGTGAGAAAGGCCGGAAGGGCAAACGAGAGAGAGAACAGGGTTGAAGGCGACTGTCGTTTCGTTGGCCACAATAAGGCAGATAAAATAAAGCGGTTAATAAAATTACTAAAGGCTATGTTATTTTCAGGAAAAAGTGTTAAATGAGTCGAGAGAGCGTCCAAGAAGTTTATGATTAGGGACAATTTAGGAGGGCGTAATGATTGTACTGAGACTGAAACGCGGCTCTAAAATTTAACATTCTTTCCATCTCTGGAACTCTGAACTCTGTAGTAGAGGCTGCATTCATTGTTTGTTAGCTCCTCTTTAATTTACTACGTTCCTTCCAAACGGGTCTCCCTCCCTCCCAATCCCATTTCCCTCGCTAGTGTTTTGTTTAGGCTTCTTAGACAGAGACACAGCAAGAGAGAAACATCGAGGATGTGGATAGATCAAGGGGTTTGACTCAGCGGTGGTGGCTGTCGTTCATGAGACTCATTCGGCCTCGATGTGGATGGATCAATGACTCAAAGGGTGTGACTGCCGTCTGCTATTCATGAGATTGATTCATTGGCCCCATATTGGGCCCTAGACGCAGCAGCTGCTGCTGGTTGCTGCAACAGAACAGCGATGGTGGAACGCTTGGCGGCATGAATAGAGCAGAGCGCTATCTCTCTCTCTCTCTCTGTGTGTTTCTGAAGCTTTCTTTGTTCCAGCCGCCAACTTTCCAGTAAACGATATATCTCTCTTCTCTTCATTGGTACATGAATAAGACGGATTTGTCCTACAGCTGTGGCGGATCCAAGTGCTGAAGCTTCGCATTCTGAAACTGTCTTGCTCACTTGTTGAATTGAGCTAGCAGTACTTGTACAATTTATATATACAAAAAGCTACGGTTTATCTTTCCTTGGTTATAACGTAGAACTAGTCTTCTACGGGCTGAAGACTGAGGAGTGAGGAGTGAGAGGACCCACAGATTGAAGTCTAAAGCAGCATCACCTACCAACCAAAAAGGTAAAAGGGGCTCTGTGCAAATTCAGATTATACTTGTTTGAAACTTGACCACCATTTTTTGTTTTTGTATAATGTAATAGAATCTCTGTTCCAACGTCCAATGGATTGTGAATTTGAAATTGGATTTTGGGTGGGGGTGGAGCCGATCTGTCTGAGATCCATGGAGTTGGAGCCATTGATGTGGTGATGTTGGTCCCTGTGTATTGAGTATTGACACGTCTCTCAGCTCAGCTCTAAAGGGCAGCTGTAGCGTTATGATGAGGGCCGGCACCACCTATCTTATCTGCACTGTTCTTCCTCCAGTCTTCTTTAGTTTCCGATGGTCCTCGCTCTGGCCCATTAACTTACAACGTGTCGCATAATTGGATGATGGGACACGTCCTCTTTTCTTGCTTCATTACTGGTGGACACACTTCTCTATGGGACCCTATCGCTACTAGTCCAAATGCTCTTTATTTGGAACACGTGGCTAGTGATAAGACCTCTGTTCTATTTAACTAATACTTCAAAATAAATAAATATTGTATACCACCAAATGCCAATGGATTCCCTTTGCCAATTTACTTCTAAAAAAAGCGGTTCATATACTTTTATTTGATTGCGTTTGGTTTCTTGTGTTTGAATCAAATTATTTATCAAATAAATATTTCTAAAACCATCGATTGATGAAACTTGTTTTCAATATTTCCTTCAATATGAAGACATTTTTTTTCCATATTCAGCTTATTATGTGGGGTATAACAATACCAAATGATGCCTAACTTTCCAAAAAGCTTTTCGATCATTTTTCTCATTTTTTCAAAATAAATTCCATATAAAATGTTTATTAAACGAATGGAAATAGAAATAAACAGCCCCTTCATCGATTATTGTATATGAAGCAGAGTCAAATTAGGCCTGGTTGGTTCGAGCGCATCACAAAAAAGTTGGATAGAGTTGGTTTCGGTGGAAGGTTAGGGTAGAGGTGTAAATCGGGCTGTGCTGCACGCAGTCCAGCATGACGGCACATGGGCTGTGCCAGGCTGGGCATGATGATGTGGGCTGTGTTGGGCTTAGGGTTTTAGGTCCACGGATCGTCATATACCAGCACGGTCCAGTCCGTAGTCCAACCCAGCATGATCCATATATATATAATATTTATATATTTTGTATATTTATATATAATATATTATATTAATTATAATTATATAACAATATGCTATATAATATCTTAATAAAAAAAATAATTATTTCAATTTATTTAATTATTGCCTATATAAACAATTGTATACATCAAAATTCATATAAAATTAAAATTTTAAGTCTTTTTTCCAATTTTTTAAATAAGTAGCTTTGGCTTGGTCCACAATCTGGCTTAGTTCAAGACTTGGCCCATGGGCCATCTTGACTCATGGCACAGTACAGGCCCACAAGGGCTTGGGTCATGGGCCATGCCAGGTTGACCCCCCAAGTTATCTCAAGGGAGGGCGACATGGCTTGAGACGGCCCGTTTTATACTTCTAGATTGGGGTAGGGTTAGAGTTGAAAAGTATGAATCTTCCATGGAGAATTTTCAATTAGGCTTTGTTCACTTTTCGATAAGTTATTTATCCCGGTAAATACAGTTATCTGGGTATGTTTTTTCTGGAAAATACTTATTTGGGTAAGTGCATTCACCCATGTTTCTTTTATTTCTCATATAAATAAGGCAATGACCATTTTGGCCATAAAAATCTATAATTAAAATGGACATTTTTGTTCTATTCAAGTGTTGGCAACTTTCCCCCTAGGTAGGAAAGTTATTTACCCACCTAGGAGATGGGTATCACTTACCTGCCCAATAAAATAAATTTTCTTTGATCCCCACATAAATTTGAAAAAAGAACATAAAATTTTTGGTCAATAAGAACCAAAATTCCATTAACCATCTTTTCCCTCTCAAAATCTAAAAAAAAAACGCCCCATTAATATTATCGAAGATTACCACCTCAGGACAGCGGTTTGAGAAATGTAATATTACTCACTAGTTAATGAAGCCAAATTGAGATTGATTGTTAGATATATCTGGCAGAAGGTGCCATATTCTTTCTTATTTACACTTGTTTTTTTTTGGTGATATTTGCGGGGCCGATCGTCTCCATGGTGCTTTAAGAATATCGTAGATATTCTATATTGAAAAATTCTCACCTTTTAAATTTGAACCTGTTAACAAAAGTGTGTTCTAATTACTTTGGAACTAATACAAATATAAATATGTACAGTATAAATAAATATAAAATATATAGTTTTGCATTTTATATATTTGTATTTATATTCTTTCCAAACTGAGCCAAAGTAAAATAATTTTGAGGCAAGGTGGGTTACGTCCTCTCCTGTACTAACATTCTTCCATTTGATAATGGTTAATAAAATCTAAGATGCTTGCCCCTCCATTGAGAGTCAACTTAAGGGTTAAAAAACAAAACAAAACCAATTTGAACTAAAACTAGTTAATCATGATCTACTAATTGCAATTATAAAATATGACTGACTTTTTTAAAACAAAATGAAGCAAAGAAATTAAGCCAACCTGAATTAACCGATGTCATCTGGTTAATTCTAGTAAAACTTTTAGCATAAACTAACAAGACACAATCTATGCACATTTCGAAGGGTTTTTGAAATACAAGGACAATAGGAAATACAAAATTATGACAGAGTGCGAGCAGAACATCTAATCAAATATCTTATAGACGTATGCATAGATGAATATATATCAACATGATAGGAAAATTAGTAGAATATTCTAAATTTTAAAATTTTCATATACGATTTTCTGCACAAAATGCTAAGAATTTACTAAATTAGAATCCTGGTTTCTATATTGATTCATATATTAGACGTTTTTTCTCGCCACACATACACAACCCTCTAGTCCCAAGTGTAAAGAAAGAGGTAATTAAAAGACTAAAATTTTACTTTCTACGCAAATGTTTTAAAAATAAAAACTTTGATACGGTTGATTCAAAATGTATATTTTTTATTTTTTATTTTTAAATCTTATGTAGTCATGAGAAAAAAAAAACCAAATTATAATCTTTGACTTGAAGTCTTGAACTATTTTCTTGTTGAGAGTTTCTAAAATAAAGGTACCATAGTTGGTTTGAAAACATGTTCCTATTTGTGCATTGTATTGCTTGTTTCCAACTGAAACCACAACCAATTTCTTGTATATATTTTTAATTTTAATTTGTATTTTGGACCCAAATCCGTATTAATTGACCTGTTGTGATCCATAGAAACTTTAAACCAGCACTAGTAAGAGAGTGTTTTTAGGATAATGTGCTACCAACATTTAAGGAAAACAGAATGTTTTTAGGATATTTTGGTACCAGCCTTATCTATATGTTTGGTTTGAAGGAAAAGATAGGGAAAGGAAGGGGAACGTAAGTAAGTCCTTACATTTCCTTTCCCTACTTTTTCCTTCAAACCAAACACAGTATGAAGGAAAAAGTATGCATGGTTTTGTTTCTGATCAAAGCATAAGCATTTCCTCTTGGTTTAAGAAACAAGATTATTTTTATGAATCAAACTGATATTGCTTTCACTTTGTTTTGAGCAAACACAAATCGAAACAATTTTTTCCTGACGTGACATTTGATCATCAGAAACAAGAAAAACAAATTTTTGATGTTTGAGAAATGAGAATAATACCCCTTAAATCAATAATTAAACTGCTATATCATACATTCGTATCGATAAAGCTAATCTTTTAACAGGGTGAAGCAAGCTGATCCATTCCTTCTTTAATCGAACTTCATTTAATTGCAGTACAATTATTGGCCGGAAAAGTAGTAGAATGATCATCATTTTATGCCAAACATTAGAAAAAGAAGAGCAAAATAAGGGTGAAATAGTTAGAACTCCTTTTTAAGTGGTGTAAGTGTAACACTCTACATATATAAATATAAATACAAGTGGACTTTTTCTTTTTTGGAACAACAAAACAAACCAACTCCCAAAAATCTCCCCTTGAGTTTGTCCTTCACTTTGCAATTAATTAAGTCTGCTGCATGAATGATTTATTTTTTCTATTTTCGTGCTTTGATTGCTTAGTTGACGCTTATGTATTAAAGTATTAATATTTTGATAAAGAATTGTTTGAATCATGGATGGAGGGAGGGAGAATTCATCAACTGTAGAGGATATACCGCTGGCAATGCAATGGAGTGAGTGTGTATTATTTTAAAGTTGATAGGTGTGTGTATGGAGATGGCAAAGTACCAAACAGCCATGCATGCCAATGCCATATACGACCGACCCGCACTCCCGTCTCTTTCTCGCCTCGC